AATACCACATCATGGACTTCGGTATTGGCACGTGCATGGCGACCACCGAGCATAACCATAAATAAGTTGGGCATTCTATTTCCTTTCTTTTGAGACATTTTTACAGCTAACATGAGATTCACGGAAACGTCATTCGCAATTGTTCGAGGTAGACCACACTTCGATAGAAATGTTTTTGCAACTACATTAATCACATGAAAGTATAGGACGAGTTTTGCGAATGACAATGCCTTTGGTTACTTTGGGCTTATCCAAAGTAACATTATGAACTCCTTACATTTGAGGTGTAAGCAGCAAGACTCCGTCAAAATGCAGATAACGTTATATGACCAGTAAGATAGATTTGACCAGAGCTTTCATTGGGAGGAAATATCTTACTTTTGTTTCGGCAAAAGTAACAAAACCATCTTGTTGAGCAGACATTACATCCCTGTAAGGCTTCTCAACGAGCGACATCCATGTCGCCTTCACTTATTCATATTTTTGATAAACTTCTATTTCAAAAAAATCGTGCTGACTTACTTCAGCACGATTTTCATATTGTATAACCTTCTCCACAGAGAGAAGCTTCACACCAGAGGAAAATTACATCTCAACCATTTCTACGCCATCAATACGTGCCACAGTCATCAAATCTTTATCACCACGACCTGAAACAGTCGCAATAATAATTTGATCCTTAGACATCGTTGGCGCAAGTTTAGTGACATAAGCCATCGCATGAGAACTTTCCAATGCAGGAATAATCCCTTCAATATGGGTTAAATCACGGAAACCTTGTAAAGCTTCATTGTCATTGATCGGCACATATTCAACACGATGCATATCTTTTAAGAAGCTATGTTCAGGACCCACACCAGGATAATCCAAACCTGCTGAAATTGAATGCGTTTCAATGATCTGACCTTGTTCATCCGACATCAAATAAGTACGGTTACCATGTAAAACACCGACATGACCTGCATTCAATGGTGCAGAATGTTTACCTGTTTCAATGCCATAGCCTGCTGCTTCAACGCCGTACATTTTCACATCAGCATCATTTAAGAATGGATAGAACAAGCCCATCGCATTTGAACCACCGCCTACGCACGCTACCAAGGCATCAGGTAAGCGGCCCGCTTGTTCCTGAATTTGCTTACGTGCTTCACGACCAATAATTGACTGGAAGTCACGAACCAATTGTGGATATGGGTGCGGGCCTGCAACCGTACCAATCACATAGTAAGTTGAATCAACATTGGTCACCCAATCACGCATGGCTTCGTTCAT